TGAGGTTAAAAAGAAATGGAAGAAGATCAGAATGAATTGCAAAATCGAGTAACACCATATAAAATATGAAGTACTGTGTATCCATGGCGTATTTACAAAACGAAAGGAACTTTAACCCTTTGCCGTACAATGTGAGACTCGTGATGAAGGTTTCTAGACTAATTTAACAACAATCGATGTTATTCATTACCCACTGATCAAAGCAAACTATTTCGCTATTATTGTATTATCTTCAAATAAAATTTCCACTTGAAGTATGGACAATTTTGTTGCATTTCTTCCAAATTGTCGATAGTAGAATGGTACACAAGCTTAGAACAACTTGATTAACTTTAAGAACAACTTGATTAACCCCTTTGCCGTACAATGTGAGACTTGTGATGAAGGTTTCTAGACTAATTTAACAACAATCGATGTTATTCATTACCCACTGATCAAAGCAAACTATTTCGCTATTATCATTATATTATCTTCAAATAAAATTTCCACTCGAAGTATGGACAATTTCGTTGCATTTCTCCCAAATTATCGATAGTAGAATGGTACACGAGCTTAGTGGCGAAAGTAAATAGTACGGCAAGGGGTGAAATACAATCAAATATTTCAAGGTTCAGCCACCTGACAGCTTAACGAAATGACTCGTTCCACATTCTAACGAGGGAGGTCAAGGGGGATGTGTCCGGGGTGGTCAAGAATTAGAATCAGGCCGTCCTTCAAACAGGAATGCCGGCCAGAAGATGAATGAATGCGACTGCTATTCGAGGGAAAACTAAGGGGGAAAAAAGTCACCCCCGACGCGCGCGAGAGCTTTATAATGAGGACACTCGTGTCCAAGATAAAAAAAGGCGACACCGGCGGAATGCGATAGGGGTTCTCGCGAGTGTCCTCCTTTGTTTCCACTCTTTGAACTTACCCGCGCACCCCATAAACAAAAATTTCGCCGATCCGAAACGGTGGTTCGACCCCCTTTTCCACTCGCGGCGTTTTTCTCGGGAGTGAAACGGCCCGAGAAACTTATCCCATTAAATTTTAACAGCGAACATAAACGGGATGACAAAAGGAGGATAGCGGAGAGAAGTGGAACCTCCTTTTCCCTATACTATTTTAAAAATTCCGATTTATCTGTGCCGATTCGATCTTCGAAAGCTGGGTGGAGCAAATTGTTTTTTGAGCTTTGTCGTTGCGATTGTGGAGGTTTCAAACCTTTGCACTCGAGAGGTGCCTCTCACTCACATAGTAAAACTATAAAATTTGATACTTAATATTAAACTTCGTATAATGCATCAATTTGAGAAATAGCTTTGTCCTTCAATTTAAGCGTGATTTCGAGTTAGTTTCGCAAAATATCCTCTCTATCTCATCAGAAGACGTTAAAATATTTCTAATGAGAAACTTCCGAGTGCAAAGGGTTAATAGATTCTCAAGTTTGTTGGTTATTTGGAGAAGAAAGTTAGACGGAATCTGATTGTATTAGGGGTGCTGCGGAGATTTATAAAAATACTTATTTCAGGAAGCTTTGTTAGGTAAGTGTATGGTCCAATTCGAATGCATAGGTTTTAATGGAATTTTTCATGGATGTAGAGCTTCTGAGAATATTCCGCTCGTATTTTTTATGGCCACGCATACTCATATTTACGAGGTGGAAACCGTTTCTAGAGTTGAACGCGGAAAACCTGTTTTATGGAATATCTTGAAAAATGACGGATATAGCTGGTTCCATTAATTTTAATGATATTTCGCCAAGTAGACGTTTCATCCCCTGCTGCGAAGATATTTCCACCCCGTAAACACAAACACGGAGTGCAGTAAGGAATGTGTGTGAAATATTTTTCCGTGCTCTATATATGCAGACTCGAGTATCGGTACGTACGCATTTAACACTGGCTGAAAATGACCTATTTCTCAATACATCTACAACCATCGAAAAGACAACAGACGCTTCACAGAGAAACGATTACATAAATTACTCGAACATAAAATTCAGACGCATCGTTTTAGTCACAGCAAAATCATTTCCGAAACTCAGCGTGACTCGACTGTTCAGGTAACACCCCTAGTTCACCATTCCCCGAATTCAAGCGACACATCATCATTCTTACCTCAAGCAGCCCCGACAGCCCTAAACTCCCTTCCACATTTCCCGCAGCCCGACGACCGTACATACAACGACAAAGACGAATCGGCGTCCGCCTGATTCAACAATCCCAGAACAATTACCCAAGTTAACAATGCTCCAAGATTTCCGGTGTCCAAATAAACCGAAGAAAAAGAAAAGGCCAGACACACCGGGGGGACAGCGAGGGGTGGTGGTGGAACAGAGGAGAGAGAGTATCGTTGGTCCGAAAATCCAGCGATGCTGCGCGTATCATGGATCCGCTTGGATCTGCGCGATAGGGAGGGTTCACGCGCTGGCGGCCACCACGGTGGTGGGGTCCCGAGCATCCATCCGGCGGGGAGGGCCGTAGGGCACCGTCGGGATGGAAGGGGGTGGGTTTCGTAGCGGAATCGAGCGAAAGGCGCCGCGTCGCGCCGCGCCGCGCCGG